AAAAAATTTGATGCAACGTTGAAGATGGTCATATATCGGGGTAATTCTATTTCCACATATTAGTAGCTCTCAATACACACACTTAATGAACATCTTCTCAATTCACCCATCAAAAAAATAAAAATTCTCAATACACAACCTTTTATTCCAATAATACCAGCATCTTCAATTTTAATATTTGGTTTGGTTTTCAAAATCTGTTTTATGAAAAAAAAATTTAAACAAAAAATTAGATTGGTGAAAAAAAATGAAAAAATAAAATACCCTTATCCTTTTTATATAGTTTTATATTTTTGAAGGGTAGAAATAAATTTTAAAAATATATTTTCAATGTTTATTTTTGTCAAACTAGTTTATATTTTTTCTTTTTAAATTCAAAAAATAGTTTTAGAAAATCAAACTAAACATGACCCTAATTTTTCTTCTGTCCACCCTCTCTATCTTTGCCCTTCTTGCCACCACTCTCAGCCTTCTATCACCACCACCATCGCTACTTCCAACTCATCATCCCCTTCCATCCTATATCTTCATATTCAATTTTGAAAGTGAGTGGTTTGCAATAAGGGGCTTATGGAAGTGCATCATTCATAATGAAGATGGTTGTAAGCGGAAGGGGAAAAAGCCAACTAATGGAAGTGCATCGTTCATAATGAAGATGGTTGTAGGCGGAAGGGAAAAAAAGCCAACTAGAGGAGATGGAAAAGGAGAGAGGTGGCATTGGCAATAAAGAATGGTTATGGCATTTTAGAATTAGGATTTTGGTGGAAGAAGACAAAGATAATATGGTATTTTTCTAAGACAAAATTATACTAAGAAAAAATTTCATTAAATATGAGAATTAAGAAAAATGGAGATTGACCAATAAGTCTCATATTTTGTATTTGTAATCCAATTAGTCTCATATTTTTTCTTGTGATCCATTTAGTCTTTTTGGATGTGTAATGGCTCATTTGCCCGTCACATTTGAAAAAAGTACACTAAAGAGTTTTTTAGTGTCACATCATACCCGTCGCTAATGGAAGTGCATCGTTCATAATGAAGATGGTTGTAGGCGGAAGGGAAAAAAAGCCAACTAGAGGAGATGGAAAAGGAGAGAGGTGGCATTGGCAATAAAGAATGGTTATGGCATTTTAGAATTAGGATTTTGGTGGAAGAAGACAAAGATAATATGGTATTTTTCTAAGACAAAATTATACTAAGAAAAAATTTCATTAAATATGAGAATTAAGAAAAATGGAGATTGACCAATAAGTCTCATATTTTGTATTTGTAATCCATATAGTCTCATATTTTTTCTTGTGATCCATTTAGTCTTTTTGGATGTGTAATGACTCATTTGCCCGTCACATTTGAAAAAAGTACACTAAAAAGTTTTCTAGTGTCACATCGTACCCGTCACATTAGAGTGCCATATTTGAAAAACGTACACGAAAGAATTTTTAATTTTTTTAAAGTGTCACATCATATCTGTCGTGTTGGAGCTTCACATGTCATGTTTGGGAAAAGTACACTAAGAAATTTTTCATTTTTTTTAGAGTGTCACATCATAGACGCTACGTTGTCATGTTTAAAAAAAAGTACACTAAGGAATTTTTTTTGTTGAAGTGTCACATCATACCCGTCACATTATCATATTAGGAAAAAATATACTAAAGAGTTTTTATTTTTTTGAAATGTCACATCAAACTCGCTACGTTGTCACGTTTGAGAAAAGTATACTAAGGTATTTTTATTTTTTTTGAAGTGTCACATCATACCCGCCACATTGTCACATTAGGGAAAATTACACTAAATTTTTTTTATTTTTTTTGAAGTGTCACATTATACCCGTCACGTTTCCACATTAGGAAAAAATACATTAAAGAATTTTTATTTATTTTTGAAGTGTCACATCATACCTGCCACGTTGTTACGTTAGGAAAAAGTACACTAAAGAGTTTTTATTTTTTTTTTGAAGTAAAAGTTTTGGAGTGTCACATCAAACCCGCCACGTTGTCACATTTAGAAAAAGTACATTAAAGAGTTTTTAATTTTTTTGGAGTGCCATATTAATACCTGCTACATTAGAGTATTATATCATACATGTCACATTAATACAAGGATATAATTACCTAGGAAAATTAGTATAAGGTCTCTCTCCCATTTTTAGTAATGGAAGAGATCCACAATATTATTTTATGATGTCTAAGGTTCCTTAACCCCACACCCATGTATTATAGAGAAATTTGGTATACCTCACGGCTTCAAACCTTCACCTCTCTCTCTCTTCTCTCTCTCTTCTCTCTCTCTCAGACTCAAGCCTCACCTTTTCTCTCTCCTCGCTGCTCTTCTCTGTGTCTCGTCAATCTAGCTCGATCAATCCAAGAAGCGCTATGTCAAGAACTCCTTGGCCACTCTTGCTCTGATTGAACCGCTATATAAAGGTCTTCCACCGAGGCTCGGCGACGCCATATGAAATGGTTGATTTTGAGGATGAGCCTACCTTGAACAAGATACCCAGTGAAGGTTATGGTTGGGTTGGGTGCATTACACGCTACATGAGATGTTTGGCTTGTTTCCTAAATTGAATCTACCTTCTTAGTTGAGGCTGTTTAATATATATACATACACACAAATGTATATATATATATATATATATATATATATATATGTATATATGTATAATTCTGTACACTATTATATTAGACAAATATATAAATTTTGATTGATTGAGCTGAATTTCTATATTACAAATTGCATAACTCGGAAGATAAAGCTCAAAAACATATATCTGCAATTGATTCTCTTGTTTTTTTATTTCTCCTTTCCAACTAAGTTTTCTATTTTTGTATTAAGCTAACCATCTCCATGGCAGAGCAAACAACATCAATTTCTATTTTTTTTTTAAGAAAAGAAATTAAATGATTAAACATGGGTCTATGATGCTTTGAGGGTCTCCAACATAATTAAATCTAGGATGCTAGTATGTATCAAGAACTTAAGCCCAACTCATTTGGGAAGGAAAGGAAAGATACCCTTTTCTCTATTACTTTGCCTCTCGTTCAAAGAAGATACTAGTAAGTTCTAAAATTAAGAAAGAAAACTGACTTTTGGATAATGCAAAAACAAGTCTCAGGATATTGTCACTTTTTAAGATAGATTTCACTTGTCATAAAATTTCATGAATCTAAAATCTTCTGGTGGTGCTCTTTGTGACAAGCAGATGGTTGAATCAAGATTTGAGGACCTTCTTGATCACTCTAAGTTACTTCTTCAGAAGAAATGACTATTTGGTACACTTGATTACTTCATCACAAAGCAGCTCCCGCATAATGTTACTTGGGCTATTTGGTACGCTTGTTATTTTTTAGCATGGATGTTTTCCATAATGTAACTTATTTTTCAAGTTTTGTATTGCAATTAGATCTTTTTAAATTCTATTTTTATATTTTTTGGCATCTTTTTAGAGTTTCTGGTGAATTTATATTGGACCACAAGTAATATTTCCTCTTATGATCTGAGCAAGTTTGTAGAATAGATCTGCTTGAGGATATCATTGAAAATGCAAGAAATAACAAGGTAGTCTTGCTAGTTTTTCAATTTGTTTATTATGATCATAAGCTACTAATAGTGCAAGTTTACAGAAATTCTTTCTTATTTAACTTTTTGTTATTAAGAACCCTTCCTCATAATCTTAGGGCAGTGAAAACAAAACCACCTTGCCGTTAAACCTTTCTCATACTCTGTGTGAGAAATTTGTGCTAAAATTTCTCTAGTTTGGTTAATTTTCTCTGCATTGTTTAATTTTTTCTGTGGTGTTCAATTTTCTCTAGATAAATAGAGGGATTTGAATGTTGATCCAGATAAATTTGATGTTAGTCCAGAGAAATTTGAATATTAGTCCAGAGAAATTTGTGAAAGGTTCAAGGGTTTTTTATGTTAGTCCAGAGATTTAGAGAAATTTGAATGTTTGTCCAGGGAAATTTGAAAAAGGTTTATGGGTTTTTGATGTTGGTCCAGAGATCCAAAGAAATTTGATGTTAGTCTAGAGAAATTAGTCTAGAGAAATTTGAATGTTCAAAGTCTTGAATCTAGAGAAATTCCAAGAATTGCTTTGTATGTTGAATTCATTATGAATATAGACATAAATATGGTTATTGAATCAAGTCTCTTTTTGTAGTATAAGAATAATGTTAGATCAAATCGCTGAAGCCATCAAACTATAGACAACACAAGTGAATTTCTCTGGTTGAAAGGGGATTTTCTCTAGGATTGAGTAAATTTCTTTGAAGTGGAGATGGAAATTTCTCTGGGTTGAATACAAAGAAATTCTCTGGTGAGATTTTCTCAGTGAATATGCATCCAAATCACTGAAGCCATCAAATTGCAGATAATACAAGTGAATTTCTCTAGTTGAAGGAGATTTTCTCTAGGGTTGAGTAAATTTCTCTAGAGTGGAGAGGGAAATTTCTCTGGGTTGAATCTAGAGAAATTCTCTGGTGAGATTTTTTCTGTGATGTGTCCAGAGAAATTTAAAATTTTCTCTGTGATTTATCCAGAAAATTCTCTAGATCGAATTTTTTCTGAATCTTTATACCAAGGACCTTAAAAAAATTCCTCTAGTTACCTACTAAAACACTACCAAAATCAAAAATAGGATTACACGGAAAGAAACTCTCTACTAATAAGACTTAAGAGATCAATAAAAAAAAATTAGAACTAATTAAAATATTTATTTGCAAGATAAAATTTACTAATAAATATCTCTAAAAAAAATTAGCGTGTGAAAATAAAATTACTTCATCTAGTCAAGCCTCTAGGGTGAAATTAATTTTTTGAGTTATGTTAGAGATTCTAAATAAATTATCAAATATTTTATCAAACCTCTCACGTAGATTTGGGACTTACACAAAACACATGTATATGGTTCCACGTCCATGTAGAATATTTGGTAGAATATTTGGTAATTTATCTGGGTCCGTTGCATTTTCCTAATTTTTTTTATAAAAAAAATAAACTGTGGAACCAAATTCCTCCACGAATAGAGAGACAGAGAAGAGAAGGGGGGGTTTAGAAAGAGAAAGCTTAGGAGTAATGGTGTCTAGGTTTTTGATCTGCACGTTGATCTTCGTTTTCTCTCTCATCGTTTCATCGTTTGCTTGGAAAGAGTCCGTTCTGAGTCTAGATAACTCCAACTTCTACGAGACGGTTGGCAAGCACGACTTCATCGTCGTTCATTTCTACGTTCCATGGTATGTAATTCAATTTTGTTCCATTAATTCTCTTCGTATTGCTGTTGTAATGTGGATGCATTTGATTTTTATGGTTCTTCACTCGGCTGATAATTTGTTGTCACTTTAAATTCAGAATTATGCACTGTTTGGTTTATTCAGTGAAGAAGACTTCCAGATTGAAATAAGAATTCGAAATTAGGGTTGATAATTTGGATTTTTCTGTACTTAGAGGCCTTCAAAATGAGAACAGTTATAACATTATGGGAAATTATATGCCATATGTAACTAAAAGGTGTAACGTTATGGCTAATTTTGCTTGGATTTTAGGTTAGTGCCATTTAGTGATCATTGCTGCTGACTGAAGAGAGGTTTAATGTTTTCTTGCATGGTGATGTTCATGAATGTGTGTGCTTGTGCTCTTCTTATGTGTTTAACACTCTTTTGTTTGGAGATTATAAGTAGTGCTATGTCCCTATCCATGGGTTTCCAAATAGTTTCCTTTTGCTTATTATGTACAGTTGTTCTTGATGATGGGTAGGTTTGTTGTGCTTTGGCCCTTTTGTCAACTTTTGGTAGTTCTGGGAGCCAGTAGCGATAACAGGTCAAGGGATATCAAAGAGAAAGTGCTGTTAGTCAAGCCTGCATTTTTAATACCGTGGTTAGTCAGTATAGCAAGTAGAGATTCATTCCGCGTCACAATAGAAATTTCTCCTTTTTTTTTAAGCGAAGGTACCCCATCTAAAGGGGCATAGGAGAGTCGGGGGAGGAAAAACCCAGTGGGAAGTAAGTAATGAGGCTAATCACCCCTTTCCCCCTGAAGGGAAGAAGTAATGGGCTCTCCTTGAGCACCATAAAGACTCATATGCTATGATGTATTAAGAAGAAGAAAAAATCAATAGCTGACACACGAGTGAACTCTGTTTTCTGCTTCTGCAGGCAAATCTACGATCCTCAGCCATCTTCCCCTTCTGACTATGTGAATTTACCTCAATGCTTCCAATTGTTTTATTTGATTTCCCAATATTAGAAGGAACAGAATGAAACTACTTCCCCTTCTGGAGACGTAAAAACAATACCCACACCAATTTTTTCATATCTGAATAAACATAAAATACTTGCAAGCCAGACACATTAACTTTTTCTGGTTGCAATTATAATGTTTGTGTTTTTATGAATGCAATTACTATGGTTACATGAAGTTCTTATTGAAATATTAAGGAAAGCTTTATCTGGTATGCTTCTTATTATTTGTGTTCTGTTACAGGTGTGGCTTCAACAATAAGTTTGCTTCAGAGGTAATATTGAAAGTATCCAATTTCATAGGGGGTATAGATAAGATTTCATCAAGTTTGATTATTTTGTTGATAGCAATATATATACTTCATTCACTAACTAACAATGAATTATATATATATATATATATATTGATTTGTAGTATGAGAAAGCTGCAACTGTACTGAGTGGCTACGATGCTCGAATCACCCTAGCAAAAGTTGATGTCAATGAAGAAAAAAGCGAGGGACTTGCAAGTGAATTTAAGATTTCAAGTTACCCAACAATTAAGATCTTGAGATATGGAGGGAACCATGTTCAAGATTACCTAGGACCTCGGGATGCTGACGGTATTGTTGCTTATTTAATTAAGCAAAGGGCTCCTCCTCCTGATAAATTAAAATCCGGAGAAGATTTATATTCAGATATGTACCTTGGTATTCCTCTGTCCCACTTTGATCCCTTATGAAAATTTAACTTTTCAAGGGGAGACTTTTAATCACTAAACTTGAATTTAAATTTTAAAATATTAAACTTAAAATTATTATTATTATTATTATTATTATTATTATTATTATTATTATTATTATTATTATTATTATTATTATTATTATTATTATTATTATTATTATTATTATTATTATTATTATTATTATTATTATTATTATTATTATTATTATTATTATTATTATTATTATTATTATTATTATTATTATTATTATTATTATTATTATTATTATTATTATTATTATTATTATTATTATTATTATTATTATTATTATTATTATTATTATTATTATTATTATTATTATTATTATTATTATTATTATTATTATTATTATTATTATTATTATTATTATTATTATTATTATTATTATTATTATTATTATTGTTTTTAATCAAGTGCATCTCCTACTCAACCCAACTCAAACTCCATAATGAATCTTTTTTTTTTTGTTAATCTAGGTATCTCCTACCCAACCCAACTCAATACAATTGGGCCTGAGCTATAATGAAAGTTGCAAACTATTGTGTTATGCTATAAATGTTGTGGATATTTTGTTTTTGGTGTGTTGTAAATATTACAAAATAAAATATTACGGATCAATTTGATGGGACAAATTACTACATGTGTTTTTTTATATAAAATATTATGATTATATTACGGACGTTGCGCGGTGGGATGGATACCTTGTCATTGCTGAATATCAGATACAAGTAAAGAGGATTCAAGTCTAGGTAAGAGGGTTGGGTCAAAAAATTCTTATAACTAATTTGAGCAAACAAATTTTCATATATTTAACTAAAAACATAGTAATTTGAGTGGGTTAGATTGAACTCTCTCGTGCAATTGTAGTGTCGCCCCCTATTGTATGGCTTCTTCTTTATATTGTTTGGCATTAACAACGTTGACATCTAAGGTCCCGTTTGTTTGGGGTTATAGGGATGGGATTGGGATTGATAGTGAGGTGAGACTATTATATGGAGTGTTTGTTTTTAGAGATGGGGAGGAGACTATTAATCCCTTGGTATTAGTAAAAGCCTTGGAAGGGGAATTGGGAATGAGGAGGTAGAGATGGTATTAGAAAAATAGTGAGGGGATTAGAAATTTTTATATTTTTATATTTTTTATATATTGAGAATTTTTTTAAAAATATTAATGTTTAATTTTTTATATTTTTTTATTTGTTTTATTATTTTATATAAAAATAATTTAACAATTCTTACACTAATAACTATCATCAAAACAAACACAATTATTTAATTCCCTCACTATCAATCCCCTCACTAACAATCCCCTCATTATGAATTCACTCCATTCTACATCTGAAAACAAATGGGGCTTAAAGGACAAATTGTAAGTAGGTGAACAAACAAAATTTTATATATTTAGGAGTCGTTTGATTTTGGCTTTTTTAGTTAGTTTTTTTACTTTTTTGATTTTTTTGGTCCGAGACTTTTTTAGTCGTTTGGTATTTTTGTTTGGCTTTTTTGACTTTTTAGCTTTGGAATGACAAAATTATCCTCCACTTAAAAATGATGCTTTTTTGACTTTTTATTTGTATATGGGTCAATCTAGTAATTTTGTAATTTTTTTGTCTTTTTGTGATTTTATAATTTTTTTTTAATCTTTTGTAAAATGGTTTGCCAAAGGCTTAATAAGTAAAAAAATTCATAACTTGAATGGGTTGAATCGAACCCTCTTGTTTCAGCTTTTCAGAATTAACTTATGGCTTTTAGCTTTGAAAAATTATTTTGGACTGTTTGGTTAAACTTATTTCAAACAGCTTCTGATTCTAACAGCTTATTTTAACTCAAAAAAGTTGATTTTAAGAAGTTGCTTACTCCTTGCTTCTGATTATCGGCTTCTGCTGTGGACATGTTAATTTATGGTTATACACTTAATTTTTTTTATTTTTTATTTTTTTAAAAATAAAAAAAGACTCAAATGGACTATAGATTATTACTATTATTTTTTATGAGAAATGTAGACAAACAAAAAATAAAAATTAATTGAAAAAGTTATTTCACAGCTTATTTAACAAATACCACTCAGCAACTTAAATTTATAATTCAACAGTTATACCAAACAAATTAACAACTTCTGATTAAAGTCATAATCTATAATCTGTTAAGCTATAATCTATAAGCTGTTTTAACAGCTACACCAAATGGGGCCATTGTATGGCTTTTTCTTTATATTAATTGGCATTTATAAGAGGGCCAATAGTAAAGGGTAATCCAAAAATTAGATTTATTTTTTAAATTTAATAATGTGACAATGTATTAAAATATTTAAGACAATTTTTTTTTCATATCTTTTTTTAATTATCAACCAATTATATTATTTACACGTAATTAAGTCTATAAAGTGAATTTGTATATCATTTTTCAATAGTAAATAAGTACAACCATTACAAAATAATTGCTCTACATCATACAAATGAGAATCTATTCCAGTGCAATTCTAATACACAAGAAAGATTCGTAACAAACACATGAATGGACTTATACCATACACGTAAGAGATTTGCACTATTATGAAAATGACATTGTTTCTCTATTGCTCCAATAAAATGCAATTTCCCTTAAGACTTAAGATTAATTAGTTGAAGTGCATCAAATTGACTCGGATACCTTATTATAATAAAAAAAATAAAAAACTTTATAACAAAATCCTTCCTATATGTTTGATAATTATTTATAAAATATATATTTGATTTAAACCACATATAAACAAAAGGGAGAATTGCAAAAAATAGTAACAACACAAAATAATTGTAATATCATAAAAGTAAAAAAAATTATACATTATTATACAATTTTTCATCTTTTTGTAATTATTTTGAGATTATATCATTTTTTTTTTCTTTTACAATTGTCCCTAAACAAAATCTAATAAAAATAAAATACAAACAAAATCTAATAAAAATAAAATACTTTATCAATACCTTGTCTGTTTCACCTTTATATGGGGAATTTTAATATACATCCTTTTAAAATAGATGTACCATATGCACTTTTTGTTAGGGAAACTTATCAATAAGTCTCATATACAAAGTTCACGACCCATCTAATTCTCAAACAAGACACTTGCACCAATTAGTCCTATATATTTTTAATTGTTATTAAAAAATCTTATTTTTTTAAAAAAATAAATTAAAAACACTGCTACGTCCTACCATCGCCGGATTTGTCAGATGGTCATTGGAGACTCACCGAAGTATTCAATATCACTGAGAAATTGCCTAAATATCATCGAAAATTTGCCGAAGTATCATCGGAATGTTCTGAACGTCACCGAAAGTTGTCAGAATGTCTAGAATGTTCGCTGGACGTCAAGAATATCACCGGAGACTCACCGGAATGCCTAGAATATTGCCCAAAAAAGAAGAAAAATAAACCGAGAAATGAAAGCGAAGAAACATAGCAAAATGTAAATATTGATAAACGGAAAGTAGGAAAAAAAATCTTAAAATAACAAACAGCAACAATAGGGGAAAAAGATATCATTTTTAATTTTTGTAGGGTTTAAGAAAATAACTTCCAATTGATCAAGCCCAAAAACAAACTTTGAAATTGTAAAATATTACAGTTTCAAAGTATGATTCTATTAAGTATTTATTCTTATTAATCAAATTGAAAAAACATGTTATAAAATTGTAAAATTTTATAGTTCTAAAGAAAATTATGAAATTGCAAAATGTCACAGTTCTAAAAAATGATTCATTTTAGCACCAAAAAAAATTTTAAAACTGTAAAATTTTATAGTTTTCACCACTTATAATTAAAACTTGAAAATAACTTGTTCATAACTTGAAAATTTTCTCCATTATAACAGGAAAATAGAAGTGTCTAAAGTACTAAAACTAAGAGATCGAAAGAAAGAGATAGATATAGAGAGATGCTTGTACTCCGGAAACTATTTTTTGATTTAGATCTAATCGGATCTAACATAGATCTACTCAGATCTGATGTAGATCTGAGTAAATCTACATCAGATTTGAATAGATCTACTCACATTCTTCGTCGGAAACTTATCTCTTTCACCGTCAGTGAACGCGATGCAAGGAGTTGGTGCTCGGTGGTTGCTCGTGAACCTCAATCAATAGTAGTCGCCGATCGTCGGTGACTGTAGATTAGAAAGAGAAAAAAAAAAAAGAAAGAAGGTATGGTCGTTGTGGTGGTCATCGTTGATATCAGAGAAAGAGGAGAAGATAATGGGCATAGGACTTTTGGGTCAATCTAAAAGGTTTTGGGATTAAATAGAATACACAATTTTCAAAAAGGACTTGTGAGTAATTTGCCCTTTATTTCATTACAATTGTCAACTTTGAGATTTTTTTATAATTTTTCCTTAATTATTTTATTAATTGAAAAAGACACATTAGAAAAACTTAATTATAAAAGTTTAATTAGTAATTTTGCATCATAAAAAGGAAAAAAGAAAGATTTAAATGAAAATAAAATATAAAAAACTAAAAAACTTTAAATGGCAAAGGTCTCACTATGCCTTGCGCCCCAAGAGGATTGGGTCGGGCCGCCGCTTTTGAGTAAATTATATTTTCAAAAGGGGAATTCTATTTACACTCAAATAGTAATTTAGTACATCTAATTAAAATTTTGAAAGTTTAATTTCTATTATACCTTAATATAAATACTAATAAGAACAATACACACTGACATGGATAGGCCCATAAGGCTTAGAAATAAAATGAGTGTATTGTGCAAATCCGAATGGCTTGAAGGTACAAGACTGAGCAGAAAAATTAGATGAAATGAATTTTTTTTTTTTTAAATAATAAAAAATTGAGGTTCAAGGAAAAGTTGGGCTGTGGAAAGAAGAAAAAGAAAAATTAGCACCCACGTGAGTTCCATCTAATTTTTATATATATATAAGATAAAAAAAGGTGTGGACGGTGGAAAAATATTTTAAAAGAGAAAAAGTTATATAATATAGTTATCTCTTTGAAACTATATGTTGGTGTTGATCAAAAACGTGGGCTAAATTACCAATACCGCCAATCTTGTAGACATCCTGAAGTGGGAGACGAAGAGGCTTGTCTGATGGCCTCTTGGGCTCTGTAATCATGTCGAGGGCATCAAGAAGGGTTGGGCCCTTGTACCATGTTACCGGTGTAGAAGACACTGTATGAGTGTGTATATAGACTGCCCAAAAGATATACATGGATATAGATATCGAGCCCTCAAAAGTCGTGCCCTATTTTGTGGCTTGGAATAGCAGGGGATTGAAACCAGACGCAAGGAAGGCCGGAAAAAAAAAGATTAAAGGTGAGTGTCCCTGTAAAGTGATTAAAAACAATGTGTTTATCTGAGAAAGTTGCTGCAGCTCTGGACACTTGAACCTGCTAAACGTGATGCAGTTTTGGCTAATGAAGTTACAAAGAGGTGGACTTCAAGCAACCAGGTTCTAGTAGAAATAGCTTGTGCAAGGTCTCCACATGAACTACTTCTGGCAAAGCAAGCCTATCATGCTCGTTTTAAGAAATCCCTTGAAGAGGATGTTGCACATCACACAACTGGTGACTTCCGCAAGCTTTTGGTACCGCTTGTGAGCACATATCGGTACAACGGAGATGAGGTGAACATGACACTTGCAAAATCGGAGGCTAAGATTCTCCATGAGAATATTTCGAAGGAACATTACAGTAATGAGGATCTCATCACGATTCTGGCTACAAGGAGCAAAGCACAGGTCAATGCAACACTGAATCAATACAAAAATGAATTCAGGCATGATATACTCGAGGACTTGGAAGCTGATCCCAATGATGAGTGTCTGTCAATACTGAGAGCAACTGTGAAGTGCTTGACCTGGCCGGAGAAGTACTTTGAGAAGGTTCTTCAACTGGCAATAAACAAGCGAGGAAAAGTGGGATCCAACGGTTGTGATCGGATCTGGTGCTGCGGTGGTGAAGTGTTGTTGAAGAATCTGCCATTGAAGAAGAAATTAGCAAAATTTGGGTTTGTCCGGCGGGCGGCCAAGGCGAGGCTACCGCCCGCCGGTGAAGCAGAATGACTAGGTTCTTAACCTTGCTCTGATACCATGTAAGAATTTATGTATTATTGATTGTTGTATTGATATGTATTATTGATTGTTGTATTGATATTTATTACAATGATTCATGATTCCTATATATAGAAGAGGGTGAGTGTGTAGTAGGTGAGGAGTAGGTGAGGAGTAGGTGGAGAGTAGGTGAAGTAGGTGAGTGTGTAGTAGGTGGTAGTGGTAGGTGTGTAGTAGGTGGATTTTAACAAAAATCTAATAAAAATAAAATACTTTATCAATACCTTGTCTGTTTCACCTTTATACGGGGAATTTTAATATACACCCTATTAAAATAGATGTACCATATGCACTTTTTGTTAGGGAAACTTATCAATAAGTCTCATATACAAAGTTCACGACCCATCTAATTCTCAAACAAGACACTTGCACCAATTAGTCCTATATATTTTTAATTGTTATTAAAAAATCTTCTTTTTTTTTTTTTATAATTTACAGACACTGTTACATCCTACTAGTGCTAGACTTCCATCAAACGGTCACCGGAGACTCATCGGAATGTTTAACATCACCGGGAAGTCGCCGAAGTATCGCTGGAAGTTCACCGGAGTGTTAAGAACGTTAATGAAAGTCGTCGGAATGTTCAGAGCATTCACTGGACGTTAAGAACATCACTGGAGACTCACCAGAATGTCTAGAATATTGCCGGGAAAAAAAAAAGAATAAATGGAGAAATTAAAGAGAAAAAACATAGCAAAATGTGCTAAATATTGATAAACTAAAAGAAAAAAAATAGAACGACAAAAAACAGCAACAATGGAAAAAACATATGCTTTTTTTCAGTTTTTGTAAGATTTAAGCAAATAATCTCCAATATTGATCAAACTAAAAGTAAGTTTTGAAACTGTAAAATGTTACAGCTTCAAAACAAAAATCTATTAAGCATTTATCGTTATTAATCAAACTGAAAAATATGTTATGAAATTGTAAAATTTTATAGTTCTAAAGAATGTTATGAAACTGCAGAATTTTACAGTTTTATACCATGATTCATTCCGGTACAGTTTTAAACCATGATTCATTCCAGTACCAAAAAAAATTGAAACTACAAAATTTTACAGTTTTCATCGCCTGTAACTAAAACTCAAAAACAATTTATTCAGAACTTGAAAATTTTCTCCATTAGAACATAAAAAGAGAAGTGTATAATAGATAAAATGTAGAAAAAAATAAGAGATCAAAAGAGAAAGGCGGATATAAAGAGATGATTGTACTCCGGCAACTTTTTTTTGTTTAGATCCAGCTAAATCTGATGTAGATCTACATCAGATCTAAGTAGATCAACCATGATTCATTCCAGCACCAAAACAAAATTGAAACTGCAAAATTTTACAGTTTTTATCGCCTGTAACTAATACTCGAAAACAACTTATTTAGAATTTGAATTTTTTTTCCATTAAAACATAAAAATAGACTTGTGTAACAGAGAAAATGTAGAAAAATTGAGAAATCGAAAGAAAGAATAGATATGGAAAGAATATTGTACTCCGGTAACCATTTTGGTTTAGATCTAGTCGGATCTCATGTAAATCTACTCATCAGATTTGAGTAAATCTACTCATCTTCTTCGCCGTCGATGGGGATGAAATCACGAGTTGATTTTGATGGTTGGTGGTTGCCGGTGAACTCCGATCAATGGTGGTCGTCGATCACCGATAATAATATATTAGAAAGAGAAAGAGAATAAGAAATGGTCGTCGTCCATGACAAAAAAGATGAGAGAAAAATGCAGAAAAAAAGAAAGAGAGGAAAACGTAAAGACTGAGGCAAAAAGCAGAGAGAGAGAGAGAGAAGAAAAGTAGGATTTTTGAGTCTACTCAAAGAGTTGTTGGATTAAATAGTGTACACATATTTCAAATAGGACCTGTGGGTAATTTTTCCCTTTTTGTTATGTCATTTCTTCTATAGTTATGATCAATTTTGTTTTTTTAGTTATAACATTATTTTGGTTATAACTCATGAATTCTTTAGTTATATCTCATATTGTATTTAGTTATAATTTTTTTTTCTTTTTTTAGTATGATTTAGAAAATTAAAATTATATCATTTTTTTAATTATAAGGTAAATATGGTACACAACTTTTAAAAAGTGTGCATCACAATATTCTCCATTTATATATGTATTCTTTTTTGGGCAAATACTTTTAGAAAAATTTATTCATAAATCCTATATGAGGGAATGTTGGTCCATTTAGTCCCAAGAATTTTTTTATGAACCAGTCAATCCATTTTGTTTTGGAAAGTTATATTTATTTGATTTGATGCCATTTAGGCCAAGTTTGGCAACTTTCGAAAAATCAAAAAAATTACAAAAAAAATTAAAAAGTTATCACCATTCACAAAAAAAAATTAAAAAATTAAATTTTCACACATCAATTCACACAGCCGTACAACTCATCAAGCGACCCGTGAAGCTCTGTGCTGCGTTTGAAAAAGAAAAATTGCACAGCTTGGTGCAATTTTCACACACTGATGTTCGGCCCAGTAGGGCCCATCACAGGTCCCGTTTTGATAATCTGAACCGTTTAATGTGTAGAACTCGTCGAGTCCTATATGTTTATAAAAAATTACATTGATCGGATGTCAATAACTATATAATCAAATCAGTTTTGTATAAAAATAAATAAATGGTGTTATAATTAACGATTGAAAAAAACACATCTGATCAGATAGCTATTGATATCCGATTAACGTGAGTTTTTAGGGTCATATAGTACTCGACGAGTTCTACACATTGAACGGTTCAGATTATCAAAATGGGACTCGTGATTGCCCCCACGGGCCGAACAAAACCGTTCAGTGTAATATCCGCAAATTAGCCAATAATTTCTTACTATCAATTCAGCCCCTCAGATTGTACGGCTATTGACTTTTCATTTCTAATCTTCTCTTATATACTTCTTTATACAAATTTTTAATACACATTTTTTCATAAAAAGTCAAAAAGTTAACCCAAACATCCATATTTTTTTCCTCAATTTTTTAGTCCAAAAAGATAAAAAAGTGCACTTATTTAGAACATCTCAAACAACCAATGCCCTTTTATAATTCATTTTTCTAATTTTCTAATTTATTTTTGAGATGGAAATGGAAATAGAAATGTGAGGTATGAAAGATTCTTTTAGGGGGATTGATAACTAAAATATTGGTCGTCAAGCGTAGAAATCTATTTTTTTGTTAGTGCAATTTTCTAGTGTTACATTGGAATCTTACATTGCCTTTGTTTAGGATGTGGGTTGATTTTTTGACTTTTTAATTTTTTGACTATTTTATCTTATTAACTTTTTAACCTGTATTATCTTTTTGTGCTTAAAATAACCTGAAACCAACATCCCAAACATAGCCATTAGAGTGCTACATTTAAAAAAAGTACACTAAGAAGTTTTTATGTGTTACATTAATTGGAGTGTTACGCTTGGAAAAAATACATCAAGAATTTTTTTTGAAATGTTATGTTATTACGTTTTAGAAAAGTACACTAAAAACTTTTTTAGTGTGTTACATTAGAGTGTTACGTTTGGAAAAGGTACATTAAGGAGTTTTTGTGTTATATTGAATGGAGTGTTATATTTAGAAAAAAAATACATTAAGGAGTTTTTTAAAAATGTTACGTTGTTATGTTTGAAAAAAATATACTAAACAGTCTTTTAATATGTTACGTTGGAGTTTTACGTTTAGAAAAAAAATACAGCAATAATTTTTTTTGAAGTGTTACGTTAAGTAATTTTAACATTATAAGAAAATCATTAATACGTAATACACGCGTATTTATACTTGACCTTTTATTTAATTCACACCAAAATGAAACCTTTGGGTCTATAAGAAAAAAGGGACACTAGAATGGGATTTTTGAATCTAAAAAAATAAAAATAAGAAAACAATTCATAAACCATTATTTGAGATTTTTTTCACCCATATTTTTATATCATTCAACCTTTTTAAAATTGGATATTAAACCTTCGTTACGTAAGTTAAAATGAGAATTTTTGATTAAAATAATGACAAAAAGACAAAATAAGTTTTTTAACTTAATAAGACAAAATGTCACATTCAAAGCATAATTATTTTATTTTTTCTCTCATAAAAATTAAAAAAATTAAAAAATTTATTTCAAATAAAACTTTTTAATCCCAAACTAAAATAATTAAAAATTTAAAAACTCAAAAAAAAATCAACAAACATCCCAAACCCACCTTAAAAATATCAACAATGATTCATCCCACTAAAAATATCACCATTAATAGCACTAATGCATTAAAAAAGTAAAAAAAAAAAACACAACTCTAAGATCAAAACATCACATCATTAATGGCGAGACCCACTGCCACCTAATTAGTGGGAGCACTAATTAGTGCTCCCAAGCATTTTTCTAAAAATATTTTCATTTTTACGCCAAACCTATGTACTGAGAGTGTATCCCATGCTATGACGTACCATAAACCAAACCCAGTTACCAATCTAATCCACCACGTCAGCAAAACATTTAAAACTACATTTAGAATTGTTTGAAATGTCTTAAATAAGTGTATTTTTTATCTTTTTACGAAAAGATATTCAAAAAAAAATAGTAGAGATAATGTGATAAAAAAAAAATAAAAAATATATATACTTATCTAAAATAGTCAAACTTAACCTTACTTTTGTGACGCGTCAAATTCCTATTAGACCTCACGTGGTCACCAAAATTCGGCACCCACTACCATTCTAGCTTCATACGTTTCTCAGTCGAAATATATTAAAAAAAAAAAAACAATAAATTATTATTTACACATGTGTACTAGATAATCAGACACTCGCATCATTACAACATCAGACAAATAATAATATTCCACGTGGATAAACAGCCATACACATAGCGAGTAGAAATATTACTGTACTCGAGAAGGTTACACATAAGATTCCTATTTCTCCCAACTCTAAACCCTTCCACGTATGAAAGTGCGGTCTCTTATTCTCACGGCGAAAAGTCTCTCTTTCTCTCTCTCTCTCTCTCTCATCAGAAAGGAAAAAAAATCAAGCTATAAAACAAACAAAGCCCCAGGGACAGAGAGAGAGAGAGAGAGAGAGAGAGAAAAAGAAGGGGATTTTTAGAGAGGGAAAGCTTAGGAGCAATGGCATCTAGGTTATGGATATGCACGTTCGTCTTCATTCTCTCTCTCATCGCAGGGACATCTGCTTCTGAAACCGAGTACACATCTGCTTCTGAAACCGAGGACTCAGAGTCGAAAGAGTTCGTTCTGAATCTAGATCACTCCAACTTCCACGAGACTGTTGGCAAGCACGATTTCATTGTCGTCGAGTTCTACGCTCCATGGTAATTCCTTGTAATAATGCGCATGCATTTTTCACTCTGTTTTTGTTGTTACTTTAGATTAGCTTCAGAGTTACGCACTGTTTGGTTTGTTGAGTGAAGACTTGTAGATTGGAATGTGAATTTGAATTTGGGGTTGACAATTTTGGATTTTTATGTATTTTGGGGATTTGATCTACGGAGTTATAATCTAGGTAGATCTTTGAAGCACTTTTGTTGGATTTGTGGATTTGAAATGAATGGTTTTATGTGACATCACTTTTTTAGATCTAGATTTCAAGAATGGATTTTGAGTGATTTAGATTAATGAATTTGATTGTTCTTGTACATGTCTCTTAACAAGTGCTTCAAAATTATAAATCTACCTCCATTTTTGAAAGTTCAAATATTTGACCTATATTTTTTTGGCCTTCTATGGTAGTTTGAGGCCTTTTTAAATGAGAAACAGTTTTAACATTATGGCCAATTTGGCGTGGATTTTAGATTGGTGTCATTTAGTGTTGGTCATTGCTGACTGAGAAGAGATGTTATGTTCTGTTCTTGCATCATGATGTTCATGAGTTATGAGTATCGCATTGTCAGTGACTCAATACTCACGAGTTTACATTCTGTTGTTTAGAGATTATAAGTAGTGCAATCTCAATAATCATGACTGCATGAGTTTACAACACAAGTTTCCGTGCTGACCACCTATTTACAAGCTCACCGTGTTAACTCTCTCTCTCTCTCTCTCTCTCTGAGTACCCAAATGGTTTCCTTTCACTTATCGTGTGCAGTTGTTTCTTGAACTTCAAATCCAAATATAGGAATGAACATAAAATACTGGCAAGCCAGCCACATGAACTTCTCTGCTTGCTACTGAAATGTTTGTGTTTTCGTGGATGCAATTACTATGGTTACATGAATATTGTGGAAAGCGATTTCAACATGTGGACACTGTTTATCTTGTATGTGTACTTATTACTATTTGTTTTCTGTTACAGGTGTGGCCACTGCAAGAAGCTTGCTCCAGAGGTAATGAAAATATCCAATTTCAGAGTTTAGATGAGATTTCATCAAGTTGGATAATATTTTTGATAGTAATATATATACTTCATTCACTGACAATGAATATGTATAATGTATATCTATATTGATTTGCAGTATGAGAAAGCTGCATCTGTACTGAGTAGTCACGATCCTCCGGTCACTCTAGCAAAAGTTGATGCCAGTGATGAAACGAACAAGGTACTTGCAGGTGAATTTGAGATTAGCGGTTTCCCCACAATTAAGATCTTGAGAAATGGAGGGAAGCATATTCAAGAATACAAAGGACCTCGGGATGCTGAAGGTATTGTTGCTTATTTAAAGAAGCAAAGTGGCCCTGCATCTGCTGAAATAAAATCCACAGAAGATGCTAACGCTCTTATTGATGGCAAAAAGATTATTATTGTAAGTGCCTTATGCTTTCTCATCTTCTATTTCCATGAATCACATCCATAATCTTTTGGAGAGTAAAGACAAATTTTGCATTCTTATAGGTTGGGGTGTTTTCAGAATTCTCTGGAGAGAAGTTTGAGAACTTCACAGCTCTTACTGAGAAATTGCGGTCTGACTATGAGTTTGGTCACACATTGGATGCAAAACTCCTGCCACATGGGGAATCATCAGTGACTGGTTCCATAGTTAGGTTGTTCAAGCCATTTGATGAGCTTGTTGTTGATTTTAAGGTATCATAAGCTAATATCGTTTTTAAAGTTCTGTATTATTGCATAATTTATGTTGGTTTCTAATATCATCTCTCTCTCTCTCTTTCTCTCTCAAAATAACTAGTCTTTTACATTTTACAGTAGGATATGATTTATTTTAATGTTGCAGTATGCTTGCAGGATTTTGATGTGGATGCTCTTGTGGAGTTTGTTGAAGAAGCAAGTACCCCTATTGTGACTCTCTTTAACAATGACCCTAGCAATCAGCCCTTTGTTATTAAATTCTTCAACAATCCCAATGCCAAGGTGAATAGTGGAATCATATTTTTCAGACTTTGTTTATATATTAAATTATTAATATCATCTATATGATAAGAACTTAGGAGCAATGCTCATTTCATTGGCTTCAGTGGTATAGAATGTTGTGAAACTGAATGTTATGAATTATGTCTGTTCTCTTTCGATTTTAAACATGTTGCTTCGACTTATGCTTTTCCATCTGAAAGAAACTGGAAAGTTTGGCCATTTGGGTGACGTGTTGGGATGGCAATTTTCCTTGCCTCGCCCTGTACCTTTTGAGACAGGGATGGAATGTTTTAAATCAGGGTAGAGAATCTAGGGATGGGAATGGGAATGGGAATGGGAATGGGGTTGGGGTTGGGGTTGGGATTGGGGTTGAAGAGTCAACCTGCTTTGGGGACATAGACAGCATTTAGTTTCCCTGCCCTGAATAGGGTTCTTTTGAAAAACAAATGCTTTGTTTATTTGTGCAGTCCTCTTATACTCTGCAAAATCAATGTGGGACAATAAGAGTTTGAGAAATGTAGAGGCCTTGGTAACCCTAATGATGCAGTCTCGGTACGAACCCCAAAAATCTTCCAATCCGACATGCAGCATCCCAACTTCAATAATAGCAAGTCCCAAGCCTTCTTCCCTGAGCATTGCAAAGCTGCTGGTATTCCTTGTGTGTACTTTGAGGCGTAAAAGTGTGCCACATGCGCATACATATATACTAATAAAGCGGCAACAAGCACCTTTTTTCGTCAAAGTTAACTTTCTCGCTTTTTTGAGTGGTGATTGGTTGTTGAAATACAAAAACGCACCCAAACAGGGCCACTGCTTTTGGCATCTTATCCAATTTCATTGCGGCATCTTGATAAGACTTCACATTGCTTAACATTAAGGGTTGCTTTTTTCTTTGACCTTTGGCCTTTTTTAAAGAAATGTATCGCTAATGTTTCAGTTTATTTTTCCTCTGAAATTTCTACGATTTTGTTATAATGAATATTTTTTTGGAATGGCTAGGCTATGTTGTTTCTGAATTTTAGCAGCGAGCTTGCTGATGTTTTTAAATCAAAATGTCATGATGTTGCTGAGCAATACAAAGGAAAGGGCTTAAGTTTTCTAATGGGTGATGCTGAGGCTAGTCAAAATGCCTTTCAGGTTTGTATGCCGACTTTATATGCACTTAATGTATCTCGCTGACATTTTGATCATAACCATTTCTTTGAATGAACAGTATTTTGGGCTCAGAGACGACCAGGTGCCTCTTATCATTATACAGACAAGTGATGGAGAGAAATATCTTAAACCGAATCTGGAGCCTGATCAAATTTCATCATGGGTGAAGGAATATAAGGTGGTGCTTGCTTCTTTGAGTAATTGATGATTTGTAATGGACAAATTGCCTATCTTGATAGCTTTTTTGTCTTGAGTAATCTATTTTCTTATTTTTTATTTTGCTTGTAAATTGTAATAAAGATCCTAACACAAACTGACAAAGATTGGTTAGTTTTAATGTGGTTTTCCTTCATGAACTAACTACAGTACATAATTTCAGGAGGGCAATGTGCTTCCATACAGAAAGTCTGAACCGATTCCTGAAGTTAACAATGAACCTGTCAAGGTAATTGTTGCTGACAGCCTTCAGGACAATGTTTTCAACTCTGGGAAAAATGGTATGTATTAACTGTAGTTTGTTCAACATTTTATTTGTTCGTATCCATATTAGTAATTTGGTCCTTATGTCAATTAGAATTCTGGATTGACCTGTTCTATGTTAAAGGTCATGCCTCTTCCCAGAAGTGCATTGTCAATCTGTCATAATATTCGGTAAATGCGAGTTTTTTTTTTTTTTTTTTTTTTTTTTTTTTTTTTTGGGGGGGGGGGGGGGGTAGCCAAACTTTCTTATTCTGGGGTGCAGACAGTCTCTTCATTTTTTTTGTTTTTTTTTCCCCTAACATGACAACGAGTAATGATGTCATAAGATTCAGTGTAATTTTGATGAATACACTAATCGTTTTTGTATAATTGATTTAGAGTTGAGAAACCGAGAAAATTTTATTAGACCTTAATGATTGTCATGTTATCAGTCAATTCATGCTGATGTGTGGTTATGTTTTGTTACACAGTTCTGTTGGAATTTTATGCCCCCTGGTGCGGTCACTGCAAAAACTTGGCTCCAATCTTGGAAGAAGTTGCTGTTTCATTGGAAAGTGATGCTGATGTTGTCATTGCAAAGATTGTAAGATTTATAACCCAAACTAGCTAAAGACTACTTGAAGAGATTTGTTGCTTTGTCAGTATAGATGGTTATTTTCTGCAAATATTATGCACCTGAATTATGTTTCAATATTACTCTCAAAGTACCTTTCCTTTATTGTTATCTCTGCCTTGCAAATCGAAATCGTTTTCTTCCGTCATTTCTAGGTTGCAGGTTCATGTACTGTTCATCTATGGCTTCTAAAAATGAAGAATAAAATCCTTTTCCTTCAAGCTTTTACAACAATATATAGTAAAAATTATTTTTAATTAATCCTAGCTTGATATTTTAGCTCATCTACGTTGGTCCATTTCCCATCCATTAATCTGCATTCTGCTTTCTGATTGATATGATTTTCTTATTTGTATCTTCTGTTGTGATTTTTTCTGCACCCTTACCATGAGATTTCTTTACCGCATTGAAAGCATTGGTTTAATTACAACTTACTGGTTTCATCTGCGTAGATGTTGATCCTTTTATTTGTTACAAAATTTATTCCTGAATTGCTCCCACCATTTTTGTACTTTGTAGGATGCCACTGCAAATGATGTACCAATTGATATTTTCGACGTGAAAGGTTATCCAACATTGTACTTCAGGTCAGCAAGTGGAAATCTGTTGCAGTACAATGGGGGACGTACCAAAGAGGAAATAATTGACTTTATTCAGAAGAATCGGGATAAACCTGCCCAGCAGGAAGCTGGAAAAGATGAGCAGCAGGAACCTGGAAAAGATGAGCTGTAGTGAAGGTATTTTTGTAACTATTACAATTTTGCTTATCATTTAAGGCAGTAGAGGCAGTATTGTCGGATTGTAATCTGGTGTAATTTGCATATATTTTTATTTGTTCATTTTTTTTGGCAATAATTTTTGCCAGCCTAGTTAAATAACTACACACCCACCCAAATTGCTAGTTGTGCAAAAGATACATTCTGACATTCGAGTGAAGATTGATTCTTCAAGAATAATAGTCTCTGTACCATCAATGTTATATCTTGCGAACACTACTGAGGCAACTATTATTATTATTATTTTGTGTCCAATCTTCGGTGGGTAGAGAGCGTTGGATTCCTGTGTGTGGTCTGAGATTGTGGATTACTTGATCTTACAAAGTATCTAGGAGAGCTATTTGGCTTACAAAAGTATCTAGGAGAGCTATTTGGTCCACGTTAGCACTTGGTAGATGGGATTTCTAGTTTGTCTTTAGTACTTCTGATATACGTGTGGTTTCAATTAGATTCAGGGGAAAGTAGGGTAAATAGTAAATTGGACAATAGTTGTTAACATTGACAGATTTCTTGTGAAGAAAATGTTTGTATACAAATCTATTCGGAAAGTAGTTATTGAAACGTTTTTAATAAGAGAATATATATCTATGTACATATTTTTTTTTTTTTGTTATTTGTTACTTGTTGTGGTGGTGGTGGGAGGAGGGGTTGTTTCAACTTTAAGGTATAGATTGATTATTATTGACATGTATATCAACTGTAAAAAGTCAAGCATACACATATTACTTTATATTTTTAGTATTTGAAACCATTGGTGCATTATCATCTTTATAAGCAAAATGATTTCTTGGACCGGTTCAGATCTTCTTGCTGATAGATATTGACGTCAACCAACTTTGAGATTTATCAGTTTGTTCTCATTTTGCAGGAATAGCTTTCCGATCTGTATTAGATCATGCAGACATGAACACAGCTGGATACATATTTGGCGGCGATTGTACTTAAAAACTGTACTAGCGAGGAAGCAATGGATCATATCTCTTCATACTGCCCTCATACTCTCTCTTATCCTCTTTCAGTCTGAAAATCCTAACCTGAATAAAATGGGAGTTCTTGTTTCAGTTCTAGGGCTAGCTTAGCTCACAATGTAACAATTTTGTGGCTATAGAACTCTTGCTACTTTAAAGTTAGAGAAACATGTTTTGAGGTAATATATTTTAAGTGTCTTTTAGTTAAATTTCATCTTATGAGATTTATATTGCTTTTATAAATAGCTACTTTCTTGGAAATGGTTATTTTCATTATTAGGAAGCGCTATTTCCACTCACTTGATTTTGGTTTAAACCATTCGGTGATTTTTCTTATGAATTTATTCATTTTTATGACCATTGAAGTCTTTCCAATTCACAACACAAAAGATTGCATCCAAAAAATTGCACTAGAATATCTTTCGGACAAATCATTTCAATCTGTTTCCACAGTTTCATTTAATCCATGGATTCATGAATTGCTGACTCTGTTCTGTTAAAAGAGCTTCATATTTTGATACTATGGTGTGCTATTTCCCAATAGTATTGTAAGTCAGTTTATGTAACCATTATAGTGTTTGGCTATGTGCTAAGGTAGTGACGATTATGATTCATTGTCGGTGGTATTACATGCATTGATTAGTGTACTAATTAATAAATCAATACTAGTTATGATATTATTATTGACTCCATTCATTATATAAATTACAAATATCAAAAAAAAATTTAAATTACGTCACATCATCAATTAGTACATAAGTTAGTATACTAATTGGTATATATAATATTATTCATTCATGTCTCGTTTGGCAAGTTAACATTTTAACTAAAAAATCAAGAAGTTATTAAAAAAGTCAAAAAATTTATAATCTGTACTAAAAAGTCAAAGATTTTATTTTTTTTATATTTTTTGCATATCTTTTTGTAAAAAGTTAAAAAGTCATTCCAAACATATTATATTTTTTTATTTCATATTTTAGTCAAAAAAAATTAAAAAATCATTAAAATAATCTGTTCCCAAAAGAGTTAAATTCATTTTTTAAGCCGGCTTAACTCTTAACCCATCAAAACCAATGCTTTAGGTCACGAATATTATTAAGGTTCCAAATTTTTGAAAATTATGATTATATAATTTTATGATAAAAAAGCTCCACTCATTAAGAAATGATGTCTAAAATTGTTATTTAAGGAGTAATATTATAAAAATAAATAGTTTTTAGTAATTTCTTTTACTAATTGAAATAAATCTATAATATGAGCGATGATATATAAATTAACAATTTTTACAAATATTTATTTCTTACTCTTTGACGTGATATTTTTCTTACAAACTGTATAATATTTTCTTAATAATATTATTGGAGGAGATCTCGTTTCAAGTTTTTTCTCAATGATCAATCATTAAAAAAAATACTAATAAAAATTATTAGTTTATATAGCATTTTTTTCCCAAATACGTTGTGTGTAACAATAAAAAAATAATACATTTTCATCTTCCTCAATGTTTTGGGATTGGTGAGAAAGTTGGTAATGAGACAGTTCTGAAGAATTTTTAAAATTAATTGAAGTATTTTTAAAATTAATTGAAGTATTAAACTATGTATAATTTTTTTTTTTGGGGGTCATTTTCAAATGCTTGTATTATTAACAAGTTGACATAAAAGAGATTAAGTCGATTAATTATATTACTAATTCAAAAAAATATATTAACGAAATTTGATATGAAAATTTAATTGGAAATTTCATATATCAAAATTTTAGAAAAATAACTTTTAAATGATAATTTTACATAAAATTAAAAATTTGTAAAATATTTCATTATAACTTATTGCTTTAGGTCTCAACTTGTCTTGAGGCGGCCTATTTATTTCTTGATTCTATTGCATGATTACCAATCTACACTACTACTATGATGCGACTTTGTATGACACATGTTCTTTGTTTATCACATGCCATTCATTTTTCAAGTGTAAAGAGATTTTCTATTTCTTTTTGTTAACTAAAGAGAATTTAATAGACTGAGATATGCGGGAAAAAAAGATTTCACTGCAGTCTCCGTTGGGAAAGTGGATTACTTTTTTGATTTTTTGACTTTTTTAACTATTTTAACTTAGGATTAAAAGGTCTAGTTTGGAAAGAATTTTTTTATTTTTTTAATTTTTTAACTTTTTAGCGAGATGTCTTCATATTAAATGACTAAACTGCCCCTCAAATGCTTTTTACATGTCAACAAACTTCCTTACATCCTCCACGTGAACGTCAATGGACCGGAAAATTATATATATAGTTTTTTTTTTTTACTTTTTTTTTTTTTTTTTTTTTTTTTTTTTTGGGTTTGGATTTGGCGCATTTTTATGGTTTTTTTTTAATTTATGTTTTTGTCATTTTTTTTGTACACATTAATTTGTTCTTTTTCTGTAATTAACGTTTTTGTCTTATTTATTTTTATTGGTATACAACCCATTTTTTATATATTTTTGAAAAATAGATTTTCATATGTTTTATTTATTTGTAAATTACGTGGCAAATGCTAATTTATGTTTTTATTTTTATTTTTTTTGAAGGAGGCGTATTTTTGTCCTTTTTTTTTTTAATTTACGTTTTTGTCATTTTTTTGGTACACATTAATTTGTTTTTATATTTCAAAAATGGGTTTTCATGTATTATATTTATTTGTAATTTACGTGGCAAATGCTAATTTTTGTTTTTATGTTTTTATTTTTTTGGATGAGCTGTAAACTTTTGTCGTTCTTTTTTTTAAAATTTACGTTTTTTTCAATTTTTTTTTATTTTTTTGGATGCATTAATTTGTTTTTGTTTTTGAATAATGGGTTTTCATTTGTTTTTTTTTTCCCAAATTACGTGGCAAATGCTAATTTATGTTTGCAAATTTTTTGTTTGTTTGTTTGTTTGATGAGACTTATTTTTATGGTTCTTTTTTTTTTTCATTTACGCTTTTGTCAATTTTTTAAATTTGTATACATTAATTTGTTTTTTGTTATCACAAATTGTTTTTCATGTGTTTTCCTTATTTTTAAATTATGTGGCAATTGGTAATTTATGATTTTTTTTTATTTTTAATTTTTTACCTTGTTTTTAATTTGTTTGGTTTTTTTTTGGAAAAACGTTTTTTCATGTCATTTATTTAAAATGATCTGAAAAATCATATATTGCCGTGGCACATGACAAGAAATGATGTCTGTTTTGGTTTTTTCTTAGTCCACCTAAACTGCTGTTTTTATGTTTTTAATTGACGTCGCACATGATAATTTATGTATTAGTTTTTTTTTTTTCTTCTTGTTTGCTTCACTTTGTTTTCTTTTTCGAAAATGCTTTTTTCTGTGGTTTTTGTTTTTTCAAAATTAGGCACGTCACGAACTGAAAGGGATTATATTCCCATGTAAACACATACATATTGTACATCATAATAAACATGAATACAGTCTGCTCCACGTGTGTTACCAATGTTACAACCTTACGAATATTAGGTGAACTATTATATATTTCCTAACGTTCCGTTATTAAGCAAAAACACTAACTTGTCGTGTATACGAAGTCGCACCAATGCCATATGCGGGTCCTCATCCCAACCATTAAACCATCCTCCTCATGTTCAACTTCTGGTATGGCATTTACTATTGTCATAGCCTCTTCCTCGTCATAGATTGGGTGAACAGTTGTTGGATTACCTGTATTTCGCCGTATATAATTATGTAATGCCATTGACGCATCTACTAACTGAACTTGCACATTTGCAAAGTCATACCGAGGCATGTCTCGAATAAACCCCCATAGATTTTTCTAGGCACCGAAAGTTCGTTCCACCACACTTTGTAACGACGAGTGAACTTTGTTAAATAATTCCCTTGGCGTATTTGCAGTCCTATTCCGTTGACTACTTCAGAATTGTTGTTGGTGGTAAAGGCTGCCTTTGAAAGGTGCTAGGTAACCTACCCGGTTTGGATAGCCAGAATCGACAAGATAATATTTGCCTGCAGATAGTACAAGAATTAATGACACGACAATCTACATTGTGCTTCATTTTCAAGTAACGCTGTGTCACAAAAAATTATAGCCCCATCAATTTTGTTCATTGCAATGTGTTACCTTCTTCCGGATGTGGAAATGGGACATTGTCGTTTGTTAATATCTCGTTGAAGATGCGACTATCATGCATACTTCCTTTCCATCCGCACGAAATGAAGATGAAACACATGTCAAAATCGCACGCGGCCATGATAGTTTGCGTGTGACAGTATTTCCTACCGAAATATGTTGCCGTATCTGGCCCCGTAACCCATGCACTTACATGTGTTCCGTCTATTGCTCCAATACAGTCCTTCCAACAACCCAATTGTATTGTTACTCTTACAGGTACATGTAATGGTTATTTTCATACTTCACGTCCACTTAATAATAAACACAAAATAATTGGACTTCGCACAAATAATTGGGTAATGTTTTTCAGTAGTACCTTGAACGGTAGGTATTTTCGTTTAGACCGCACGTATGGATGTATACGATGCTGACTATATGTGGGCCGGCAATAAACAACAATGAACTCTTTCATAGAAGCTAATACGTTATGCAAGTGCCGAGACACAGTCTCTCCCGAATGTTGGAACCGTTCTTGGATTTCCCGATTTTGCTTCCCTTTCAACACGTGGATAAACATTGCAACGCTTTCTTCAATAGCTAAGCCATGTGAACGTTGCGATACTTGTAACCCAAAATCATTTACTAATGTCTCACATAAAGGCGCAAAAACTTCCTTCGGCATGCAAACATTTTCCTCAAATCAACCTATATGGCCCGCATATAGTTTGGATATCCATGCATGCCCGGTCAGTATAGAAGTGCAACATGGCGTTTTAGCCATGTGTTTTTCGTACCACTCTGTGACATACTGGCATGCTTGTAGAAATGTCCAGTTGTGTTCTTGTTGCAGCTGTACGACCATTCCATTAAGCATTTTCCTTAAATCGTCATTGTTGCTTCCATCCCAGAGATTCATCACGTCTTTGTTGTTGCGAAACCTACAAGAGTGGCATTGTTTCAATCAGTTTGTGTGTGATGCATGGACTCAAATGTAATAACAGTTTCCAATTACAGAATGCCGACATCATTTTTAATGTTAAAAAATGCCGTCACCAATGTCATGACTACCATGTAATGAAATGAAGTAAACAAATAGTGAACCTGGTCGTTATCTTGAGCATGGGGACTATTAACACAACATAAGCCATTGCTAACACAACCAC